TCATTAGTGTTAGTGTATTTTATGTGTGGCCCAAGTGAATTCTACTGCTTCCAGTATGGCCCACGGAAGCCAAAAGATTGGCCACCCTTGTTTTATGTCATAGGTCTTCTTGCACTTCATCTCTCTAGCTATCTGATAATCCTAATAATAACCTTAGAATTTATGGTATATCTAATGAAAAAAATCACATGGCAGGAAGCAAAAAATATTGAATAGTAATTAGTTTTGGGAAACCAAATCTATGACTCAAGGTATTTTGAACTTTCAATAAATATTGCGATTTACAAAAACATGGTCCATGAATCTATTCATTAGGAACCCACATTTTACCCTTCTCAGATGTCCTTTGTGAAGTGTCTTCTGGGTTTCAGATTGAGTTTATTTTAGCTCTTACAGAATAAAAACAATGTGTTGTTTGCTCTTGGCCCTCATCCCTCAAGTATTTTGTCTCTTTTCAAGTCTATTGAGAATTGAGATTCTGGCATTTCAGAGCAAACTGTAGATAAACACCAATTTATTTTATTTTATTTTTTGAAGACAGGAGCAACTAATAATACTGCCCAATGTACACAGTCTTCAAAAATCTATTACCTTAAGAATTATGAATTTATGGTGAGAATGAAATTTTCTTGTTTATTATATCAATGATTATTGTATCTTTTTTTTTTTTTTATTTGTATGTTATACCTTCATGCTCTTTGAAAATGCTGCCTGTGTTTTTGCTAAGATGATTGCTATTTCAACAATGTCACTTAAGGTTATTTTATGTTTGTTGAAAATTCTATAATTGTTTCATAATGTTTGGAACTCCATCTATTTTTCTGAGTAGAGAATGAGATATTCATAATGTGTTCACTAATGTATCATATGATTTATAATTTTTCATTAACTCTCAAATTTCATAGTATATAAATTAAAGAAAGACGGGGTAATTTTAACAGAACTGAGATAAAGAGATTAGCATAGTTTTATAATACTTTTTGCAATATAATTTTCACTACTTTTAGGTTTTGGCCATTTTAAGAAACATAATTTTCATTTTTTTTTATTTTGATCATTTTGATTATATTGACACAAAACCGAGAAAGCTAATTTTAGAACATTAACTGAGTTGATAACATCAGCTGAGTAAAAGTCACTATAGTACTATATATATATATATAAAAGTAAATTTATTGCTAAAAATGCTGTATACTCAAACACTTGATATGTCATGAATGTCTTTCTGGAGTAAATATCTAAATGACGATTTTATAGCTTAAATAAATATGCCATTAAAGTGTTTTTGTTACTTTTATAATGTGTTCAAATATCCCAGAAATTCTCTTTCACTGCCATCCTAAAATTAACTAAAATTTAGTTTTAGCATACAATTTTGACAATATAGCATATTATTTCGTGGGAAGCATTTTTGGACTGTGACCGCACTTGGCAGCCTCTAGGGGTGAGCGTTTACAACTTCCAAAGCCCAGGAGGGCGTGTGTTACAGTGTGCTCTTTCAGCTATGCGTCTGCAGATAACTTGTGTTAGCCCAATGGACTCTCTGCCTCATCGCAACGACAGGGGCGCCAGTGTGACAGCCTGAGTTCTTGCCCAGAGTACCGGAAGAATCAGATCCCACGTGGGCTGGAAGGTTGAATGCAAGGTTTATTGAATGGTGGAGGTGGCTCTCAGCGACATGGTTGGGGAGCCAGAAGCGGAGGATGGAGTGGGAAGGTGATCTTGTCCCGGAGTCCCGCCGCCCAGGAATCGGACTCTTCTCCAACTGTCCCTGGCTGAATTCCCCTGGGGTCTGTGTCGTTCGGCCGTTGCTGGTCGGCTGGTGTCTCTGGTGTCTGCTGGTGTGCTCCCATTTTCTTCTTGACACCCAGCCACTTGTGTCTGTGACCACTTAAGGTCTCAGGTTTCTATGGGCACAGAAAGGGAGGCATGGAGGGCTAGAGTGATCTTGGAAAACGCAACATTGGGGCGTAAAAAGAGGAGTGTCCGAGAGTGGAGCCCTAGCCGGGGTCTTTGCCCTTCTCTTCCCAGCACTTCCCTTCCTCCATCCTGTACCACACCCAACAAATAATTTAAAACACGTATTTGTGCAAAGCATCATATATGGCACAGGAGGTATAATGAAGAATAAGGCAGTTTCTAGTTTCAATAAGTTCACCACGGATTTGAGTAAATCCATGTAAATCTCCAGTGTACAGGCAAGAAATAAATTGAAAGTCTAATATGTCAGAGGCATTTTCCTTGAAAAGGAGCATTTGATTAATATTCAAACACTTGATTATTCTTAATAATTTTGTCAAAATTATCAGTGGATATATACAGACTGGAGGAAATAAAATATATGATGATTGTAGTCTTCAAGTACGTGCTACAGAAACTAATTGAGTAAGCATGTTTTTGATCAAACCATTTGATTTACATTTTGTATTTATTAAATTCTTTTTTCTCTGAGCCAAGCAAGAATAAATATAACTTACAAAAATCATAAGCATCTAAATATAATTATTTTGGATAAAAATATGAGGTAAACTGAAATAATTAATTGATTAATTAATTATAAATTATCAGAATCAAGAGAGATTCAAAAGAAGCACATACTACCTGGTACTGCACAATATGTATCTTTTGTGATGAAAAATAGTCTGAATATGAGCTTACTGACCACTTCAGCAAAATGCAAAAAATAAAGTATGTTGACAGTACTAAACATTTAATACCTATCAGGATTTCAGGAAGAGAATTCTTTTTATAATACTGACTTTTTAGGAAAACTTTCTGTATAGGTGTATATGCATATGTGTGTGTGTGTGTGTGTGTGTGTGTGTGTGTAGAGATAGAGAGAGCAATATCTTGATTAACAATGCTGAAATGAATGTATTTTTTACTTTTATTTTAGTGGCCCTGTATTAGAAAGAGGGTAACTCCTACTAAAAAATGTGTTTTAAATGATTCAGATTTGGAGAAGATAGAAATAATAACCCAATCAATAGTATAATCCTGTGGTGGACCACTTAGATCTTCCAATAAATATTAGACAAGTACAGATATATATATATATATATATATATATATATATAACATATCTCTCAGTCAATCCTTTATGTACATTACTTATCCATTATAACTTTACATTATGATTTGAGTATTTTGAGGCTCTATTTCCTGGAAATAGCCTGGAGTACACTGACACTATTTGACTTCTCATAGCAAAAACCAATAGAGGAAAATTCTTAAATATCAAAAAATCAATTGAGGTAATGTAACATATTTTCTTGAAAATTAAGGAGCCTATTAAGTTCAACTACAAAAAATTGTTGTGTGATATTTTGGAGGTTAAAGAGTATGTGTGCATGTGCCTGTTGTGTTTGTGTAGCAGTAGTAGGTTTACGAACTTCAATGGAACCTGGCAGAAATGTAATATCTTTAGGCTATTATTTTGCTGAATATTATTTAATCCATGAAACCATTTAAAAATGTGTATCTTAAAGTCAGAATAATATACAATTATAATGCCAGGCAATTTGGATGTTAGCATAAATTTGATAACCAAATGATTTTTGTCACCTGAAAAATGTTCATCATCTCTGGAGGGCAGATATCTCACCTCCTGTTATATCTTGTTTTTGGATAGAATTAATAAAGAAAACTTTTTTTCTTCTATGAGATGTTAGTTTTGGTTCTTTTAATAAACTCAAGTTATTAGATTTAAAAGTTTCTATAACAAATGCACACACACACACACAAACTCATTCTTTTAAAAAATCTTTTCTAACAAGCAGAATTGAATTGATGTGTGATCTTGACTGAATGTGTCTCTAAAATGTTTATATTGAAACCTAACACCCAATGTGATAGTATTAGGAAGTGGGGCTCTTCGTCAGTGATTAGGTCATGATGGGAACATTCATGAATAGGACAAATGATCTTATAAAAGAGGCCTCTGAATGAGCCTTTGTCCCTTTGTCATGTGAGGACAGAGCCAGTGAAAAGACATCATCTTTGAACTAGAAAATGAGCGCTCAGCAGATATTGAGTTTGCCAGATTTGATTATGAACTTCCCAGCTTCAAGAACTGTAAGAAAAAAAAAAAGTGTTTGTTGTTTATAAACCACCCTGTCTGTGGTATGTTGTTATAGAAGCCCAAATAGACTAAGGCAATGTATTACTGTTCTATTGTTACATTAATTGTAAATAAATGTGGTACCTAAAAAGGGATTTTTTTAAATTTTGAAACTTAAATGTTATTTTTATATTGACAAATTATAGGTGCAATATGTTTATAGGGTAAAAAGTGGTGTTATGATTTTTTATCATAATGTGGAATGGTGAAATTAAATTTATTACATATTCCTCACCTCAAATATTTAACAATTTTGTGAATAAAACATTTGAAATTTTCTCTTAATAAAATGTATATGTATAATACTCAACTATTAGCTGTATTCACAATGCTGGATATTAATCTCAAAGAAATGAAAAAATAAGAAATCAAACTTGAATTGCATATGAATATGAACATGACTTATTAACATACAATCAAGGTATAACAGATATTCAATATCACATTTATAAGTTCTGAATATCACATTCATAAATTTATAAATTCCAAATAAGATATAACAGATATTCAATATCACATTTATAAATCACACCTAATTAACAAAAGTGTCCCGGGTTTCCACGTGTGCCCTAGTTACAAATATGGTACGTGTAAAACAAATCAGTTGGTTTAAGATTACCACAAAGAGACTGATTATCACTGGCAATTTGGATAATTTTTCAGTAGTGAATGATGGTTCATTGAATATATGGTAAGCATAAGTAATGGTAGTTACCAAATAGTCTGAAAAATACCACATTGATAAATGAGTAAAGAAAAAATAAATAACTTCTTAGAAATTAAATGGTCTTAATCATGTGATTAGAATGATATTATGTAAATTCTGTTTGAAAAGAGTAGTAAAGATACATAAAGAAATATAAAGTTTATTAATGTTTTACCTGTAAATTATTTTGAAGCTTCTTACTTTAACATTTTATTTTTTAGCATGTTTTCTCTTTCTTCATTTCTGTGTATGGTGTAAATCTCTGTGGTTGAGTATGTGTTTTTCCAAGTGGAAGTGGCTCTTGCTCTTGTAAGAGGTCTTGGCAGAGGGAAAGAAAACTTACAGTCTTCAACTCATTCACTATGTTGACTACAGGAATTAATCCGAGTTGTCTTGACCTTGGTTTTCTCAGCTATACAACAAGAGATTTGTATTATGTAACTAATGAAATCATTCTTACTTTTACAATTCCGTGATAATCTATGGATGTATTTTCACTTCTTTAAATAGTATTCTGTTATTGAGAATCTCTAGAGGAAATTTTTTTTTTTTCTATTTTCAATCTCCTATTTTTTTGTTGTTGTTACACTAAGTGTCTCAAACACTCAAATGTTGAATAGTTAGTTGGTGGAATTTGATTAGGTTTGAGAAGAAATATGTTTCTCTTCTTTTTTATTATCTTTTAAATGTTAACTTCTTCCAGTGTCTCTGATAATCTTAATACCATGCATCTGTTACTACTTAGACATTATCCTAGAGAAATAGTTACCATATTTTGAGTGCTAAATGACTTTCAAGCACTGTGCAGGCACCTGTAAACCTTACGTATAATCCTTATAGCTACTCTGAAAGGGTGATATTTATTTACACTTCAGAAATTAAGAAACCAAAACAGGAAAGAGGGTAAAGTTTTGCCCAGAGCCAGACATCATTAAGTTGTAGAAACTGATTTAAACTTAGGCCTGCATCATTCAAAAGTTATTTTTCTTTCTAGCACATCACATGAATTTAAGAGTCACTATAAAAATTGAATGTATAAATAGTCTTAAGGCATTTATTGAAGAATTTAAAGGGAAATCATTTACCTTTATCAAATAGAACCAGTGTATTTGAATTTTTGAGTCACAGAATAATTTTAAATATGTCTTTCTTCCAGGCCAAACCGAGTTATAAGACACTTGAGAGCAGGAACCAGAGTGATAAGGGTGCTATCCTTTACTGTCAACACTCAGTCTACTAACTTTCACATGGAACCTTTCAATAACTAGTTGAATTAGATTGAATTAAACAATATGCTAACTCCTTTTGTTTCTTAGGCATGTAAAATGTAGCTATTTAGGTACTTTTTAAAAAATCTTGACTAATGAAGATTTTTGTTACAATAAACTGTTTAGATTAAGTTTATGGGATATAAAGCCCAGCATTGCCAGGTGCGGTGGCTCACGCTTGTAATTCCAGCACTTTGGGAGGCTGAGGCAGGTGGATCGCCTGAGGTCAGGTGTTCGAGACCAGCCTGACCAATATAGTGAAACCTTGTCTCTACCAAAAATACAAAAGTTAGCCAGGCATGGTGGCCTGTGCCTGTAGTCCCAGCTACTCAAGAGGCTGAGGCAGGAGAATTGCTGGGACACAGGAGGTGGAGGTTGCAGTGAGCCCAGATGGTGTCACTGCACTCCAGCCTGGGTGACAGAGTGATACTCCGTTTAAAAAACAAACAAACAAACAAACAAAGTAAACACAGCATTGCTTGTACAAGTTAATGGGCAAAGCTTTGGAATTCCTAGGCAGCAGCTTTCACATGTATTTTGTGACATTTTATGACATGGTGAACAAAATTATATCACAGTTATGTTCCCTATCTAAAAGTATGTGCTTTTAAACCACCTTTGAAACCAGTGACCATCTTGCAAAAAATACAGTAAAATCTGTAATACTTTCTTAAATGTATTATAATGGGAATCAGAGAAATGAAAAAGATAATTTTTAATGTCTCTGAAAATTCTTACATTGAGTAACTCAAGTAACTACAATTGACTTGTAATTTATGAAGCTTATTATGAAACGTGACAAAAAAGAAGTTATATTTGGCAATTAATGTAAGGGGCAGTGTGAAAATCGAGTTAATAAAGGTTACATTAAAAAAATGTTTCTTTTGGTAAACAAAAACAAATTTGAAAATATGTAAATAAAATGTTTCTTTCAAAAGACGATCTCTCAAAAGGGAAAAAACAAGTTCATAAAATTCATAAATTTGAGGTCATTTTGAGAAAGTGGTCAATATAACAAATTAAATAAAACACTTGGGTAAAATATTTTTAATTAAAAATGATATAAATAGTAATTCAAGTGTCATATATTATTGTTTTCCAAAATGTTAAACTAAATTATTGATTACTTTCCATTAGTGGCAAATTATTTGTCTATTTGTGACTAAAAATAAAAGATTCTTGAAGGAAATAAGCCATTCTTGAAACCAAAATCAAATAGAAATTAGTAATGTACTATTTTGCAAATCAATACAAAAGAAAGTTATTTGATGGAATAATGGGGGAAAATCCCACTGATACATTATATTTTATTCATTCATTTGCCTTCAAGGCTGCAGCGAGGTATGATCGTATCACTGCACTCCTGCCTGGGTGACAGAGTGAGACTCTGTCTCTAAAAAAATAAAAATAAGCATTTGCCATTTGACAACTATTTTAACAATACCTTGAGATACAATGTGTTGAAGATTGATGGTCTCTGTTCTCTGGGTCTGTGTCACAAAAGCTCTAGATAATACTGCTTTCAAAACAAAGGATTGTGGTAGTGGAGTCTTCAGGAACGCTTTGCATTCTTCATACACTGCAACTGTAAAGAAGGTCACTAACAGGGACTTGGGATGAAGGAGGAGTTATTGGATACATGGAGGAAGATAATAATTGAAAGAGTAAAGGGAAGTATAATCTCATTTCTGAGCAACATCAAAGACCTTCTTCAAATAAATGATCTTTAGTTTAAAATGAGACCCATATCGTGGACGTGTGTCTTTCTCCAGCCATGTTCAGCAGCAGTAGGCAGAGAGTTAACTTTTAAAGGGATTAGGGTTTAGACAAGTAAGGAGCAAGATATCAGAAGACATATGAAACACAGTGATTTTAATGACTGATCATGAACTTTCAGTTGTGTACAGTGGGAAGAAATGAGGCTGGTACCTATAAAAGAGTTATAAGAGTCATAATTCTAGTTTCTGGTGTGTTGAATGACTGTTACAATTGGGGTTCTGGAGGGAAAAAACTAGAATGATAGAAGGAGGTGGAGAGTTGAATGTTTTAAGCAGATGATGAGGGAGGAAATTGAAATTACTGTAGGAAAAAGTGTGGGCTATAACTAATAGTAAGTAGCTGAAGTGAGGGTAAAGACAAGCTTAGTGGAGGAGAAAAAGCAAAAGAACCAACAAGTCCAGTAATTGAATGAACCTCCTTCAAACATTTTGAAGTCATCAATATTTCAATAAAATTCTGCATTATTTTAATTACAAATGCCAAAAATCAAATCTCTCATGCCTAATTTTAGTTGTATCAACTATTGTATTAAAATAGCCACATAAGTTTTAAAATATAATATTACAAGCATGTTTTGTTTTAGAAAACTTGAAGATAATTTCTTATAAAAACTATTGACCATGTTTTGCCATAAGTAGTAAGATTTTCATACCTCATATTGGATCAAATTCTGGAACATAAAACTTCTTCATTTCTTTTAACATCTTAACTAATATCCTAGCACTATAAAACAATGATGTCTAGTATAAATAAGTGATTGCATATATAATTTTAAATTTTCTACTAGGCATATTTAGAGATGGAAAAAGTAATAGGTAATAATTGACCTTACAATATATTTATTTAGCCCAATATAGTCAAAATATTATCCTTTCAATATGTAATCAATATAAAAATTGTCAATGAAATGAAATAGTTCACATTTTTCCTTTGATATTCTGTGCATATTTTATACTTATAGCACATGTTAATTTGGACTAAACCATTTCAAGGGTTCAATAGCCATATTTGACTGACTATAGGTTATAGTAATGAATAGGGCAAGTTTAAAGTCATATTTCACATCATTTTATCAACAGTATAGGCCTAAAGTCATGTTTGATATTACTTTATCAAATTAATGTGGTATTATTTGTTATAAAATACAATATCACCTTAAAAGTTTTATTTTTTTCTCTGATATTTTTACTGATTATTAGAACATATTATTATTCAAAAAAAAAAAGAAAAAGGAAGAGAGAGAGAAACATCATATGGTACAAACTGCAGGCTGGTCAATTAAAATAATTGATTTATTCATAGCTTGATTTGGTGAGCTTCTATAATACCTTAATTATATCAATAGTTCATTCCATTAGAAGTTGTTTCATTTGTTCTAACCTTTTGCACTTCTACTGATGAAATAATGGCTTTGTTTCTCTGCATCTTTTCATTTATGGCATTGGTTTCTTGGTTTTTTGACTCAGTATAAACTAGAAAATACTATGAGGAGTATTCAATAGAAATTAACTGTCAACTGTGTATGTTCCAATTTAGTCATTAAATGTATACTGTCTGTGTAAAAAACATCCCTTGATTTCAAATTGTTAATTATTAATTCAGGTGGTTGCTTTTAGGGAACATTGGTTCTGTACCTTTTAATTTGGTTGTGAATTGAATAAACGGCCTTTCAACTTTTGCCTCTAGTTTGACTCTTACAGTGCCACATAAATGGTGTAAGCCACCTTCATTCAGCTCAATCACACGAAGTATGCATTTCAATTTCATATAATAATTGTATTCTTCCAGTGTACTTATTTCCAGGGGCCTGGATCCTTTTCTTGAGGCAAGTTATTCATGAAAGAGTCTCTTCAAGGTTAACTGCTATTTTTACTGTTTAAATATTCTCAAGGCCTTTTCTTCTTAAACCCACAAAATTACTGTCTTTGTCTTCAAACTCCACTCTTCCAAATATAGGTATCTGTAGAGGTACGATGGATTTTTCAGTTTAGATAACATCATTTACCACAACCTTTGTAGCACTCCAATATTTTTTGGATAATCTAAATATGAATTATACTAGCAACATATGCCTTTTAAGAGCCAGTATTTTCCTTCCTTATGCGTGGTTTCTGTGTAAGGGTTCTATAGCTACTCACATAAAAGCATCCTTCCTCATTAACAGCCACAAAATGAACTTATCTGTGCAATAGAGAGTGCAGCGGGATAGGTGTATACTGACCTAAGAAGGCATTTGCCACATGAGTATCAGTCTGCTATTTATCAAATAAAGTCCTCCTCTCTTCAGTTTTGCTTTCTTTTTTCTAAAACATCTAAAAGATTTATAGCAAGTAAATATTATCTATTTTTCAAGTACTCAATATAAGTAATGTGCAAATGGTAGCCACAATAATCTTTCAGAAGGATGAAGGCTAAGAATAAGATCCAGCAGTGAAATTTGGCATCTGAAGATGCAAATAGAATATATATATATATATATATATATATATATATATATATATGCCATCTTCCGTGCACCTGTCTGCTTGTTATGTGGTATATATCTTGAACCCCTTTTCCTTAGTATGTTTTCATCAAAGTCAAAAACTTTTGTGTCTATACACTGTCATTAAAAATGATTTAAAATATACCATTTCTACAGCTTCTGCTAAGAATGAGCAGTTTCTCATCCTATTCACCAAAGCTCTAGTACTTTTCTGGTATTTTTGTCAACATTTCTGAATGTTCGACATGGAAGAAAGAAAATAAATAAACTTACAAATTAAAGTAAAAAAAAATAATTGCTACCATATGATCCTTCATTCTACTCATGTCTAAATATTTAAACTCCTTTAGTAGCACCATTTTAAAATACATTTTAGCACATTGTAAAATACTCAGGGCCTTAAATATTATAGGTACTCAAGAAATACTTTTCATTAGTTGTGTGAAGTTACCGTAAGTCCCAGTACTCCTAGCTATTCTGAGGATAGTGCTTACTGTAAGTAACAAAGCCAAGTTTATATCTCAGCCTTTCTGTAGAGAAATCATCAAGTTGTTTAAGTTTGTCATTGACTTCTTGCTGTGTTAGGTTCACATGTTCTCTCTTAAATCTTGGCACAGTTTTTCTACTAACACTTGGTTTCCTGGTGCAAACTTAAAGTCCAACACTTGTTCCTGTCAAACAAAAATAAAAATTAATGTAGGCAAACCTCATAATTTCTTGTTCCCATTAGAAAAATACATCTCCTAGTAGTAATTCTCAACAAAACTAAAGAAACTGAAAGCTAAATTATTGTTTAAAATGTTTTCATTTTTATATTAGTTAAAAGAATTGCATTTATGAGAGTATACTTTCAGAAAAAAAATGTTGTTGGGCTTTATATTTGACATATTTAAAACTCTCAAATTGTACCAAATCCTCTTATTTTCAGTATCTGTTATGTTCATAACTTTCATGTATATCTGAAAACCCAGAGAAATAATTTTTAAAAGATGAAATGTGTTTAATATAAGTAAAGAAAGTAACAAATTATTTCTACAAATATAGCATATATTAGAAACTGCATTTATAAATATACTAGATACAAAATAGTTTTCTTATAAATAAGTCAATTTAATCTTTACTTAAAAGAGAAACAGGGCCAGGAGGAGTGGCTCACGCCTGTAATCCCAGCACTGTGGGAGGCCGACGAAGGTGGATTGCTTGAATCCAGGAGTTTGACACAGCCTGGGCAACATGGCAAAACCACATATTTATTAAAAATACAAAACACTAGCTGGGCATACTGGTGCACACCTGTGGTCCCAGCTACTCAGGAGGCTGTGGTGGGAGAATCATCTGAGCTCAGGAGGTGAAGGCTGCGGTGAGCTGAGATCGCACCACTGCAGTCCAACCTGGGCAACCAAAGAGAGGCTCTGTCTTGAAAAATAAAATTAAATAAACATACAAAATGTATATCTCAGCATTTAATAGACCTAAACGCAAAATAACCCCAAATAGTTAATATTTTTTCATGCATACAATAAAATTATTATCTTAAACGGTAGGTAAAAATATAGCCATCTGAGGTTCAAAATTAACTTGGATATTAACATTTATTTTTATTGTGAATTCAAATGTTCTTGCAAGATTTCTCCACTCTAGTTAGATACAGTTCCCTGGACTCCCTATGATTTGTAACAAAGATTTCACACATTTAATCCATCTGGCCTTTGAAAACAGCCTGTACTTGGCCTACCTCAAGGTTAGGGAGCAGTGATTTTTCTCAGTAAAACTGTTTGGACAGGGTGTGGAGTCAGTCTTATCTCTAGCATTCACAGTACAGTTCTCAACCTACACTGAAGCCATTCAGCAATTGATGTACATATTTAAAATATTTAATATCAAAATACAGTATGCAATAAAGGCATTGAAGGCAAGCCAATGATTTCATGTACATGTTATCATATTGTAGTGTAGGCCCTGATACTCTCCCTGGCTAGTTAAATGAGATAGGCTTACTCAGTTATGCATCCAGCAACATATTATCGGGGAGACATAATGTCAGACACAAATTAAAGCAATAAGGACAGATTTAACTCAGTAACATTATTGCAGTAAGGAAAAGAGTCAAGCATGAACTGAACTTAGATCCTAGCAAACAAAGGCAGGAAACATTTTACAGGCTTGGGTGTGCTAAAGGAAAGGCGTTGATTGGTGGGAAGGGGCCAGGTCCCTGTAACCAGGCCACATGGATTTGCCTATTGGGAGGAGAAACAAATATCTGTCTTTATAACAAGTTGAAGTTAGGTGCCCACAAATGGTAGGCCTTTATACTTTCACCAGGCCCAGGAGCTATATTGAGAGAGTCAGTTCCCTAACTATTACCATTTCAGAGGTGGCTCTCAGGTCTTTGAGAAAACAGTTTTGATTGGTAGATTTGCATCTCAAAACACAGAGGGTCAGGTTTGGTGGCTCATGGCAGTAATCGCAGCATATGGGAAGGAGGTGGAAGGATAGCTTGACAACAGCCTGGGCACAAAGCCAGATCCTGTCTTTACAAAAAATTAGCCGAGCCTGGTGGCCTGCTCCTGGAGTCCCAGATACTCAGGCAGCTGAGGCAGGAGGACCGCTTGAGGCAAGGAGTTTGAGGTTACAGTGAGCAATGATTGTACCACTGCACTTCACTCTGGCCTGGGCGACAATTCAGTGCTGTCAAAAAAAAAAAAAAAAAAAAAAAGCAGAGAAAGTTTTGATAATTGACAGATTTTTAAAGTAATCGCCCTAATAGGGAATTGAGGGAGATATCTGCCTATTACCAGGTTTTAGCTGGAGCAAACAGTACATTTTCCTGCCAACACTGAACGTTCTCAGGCAGATATTTTAAAGGTGGTCATCTGAGGGTCACACAGCTGAATGCTGCTAGAAGTCATGCTAGAGTGTGGTCAAGCATCACAGAGCAGAGATTAGGATGAGTTTGTAGTATGTTAAGAGTTCTGCAGAACTCAATATTAATAGTCTTTGTTAGACTTTTTTCATTACATTTTATTTCTGTGATGTATCTCAATTTTAGTTACGACTCACGACTACAAAAGAAAGTGAGGGTGGGAGTGGATTAAATACAAAGTAATAGGGTATGCCTATTTTTCCTATAACTGTGTATCTGTGTGTTAAGAAAAGCAGTCTCACTGCTATATAGGGAATGAGGAGTGGACACGGATAGTCTGGAGTCAATGCCGACTTACTGTGTGAACTGGGGAAATATTTTTAGTGTTTATGTCACTTCCCTATGATCCAATAGATGAAGGGACTTGGATTAAATACTCTGTAAAAACACTTCGGGCCTCTAAAACTCTGTGGAGGTGTGTGTCTAATTTAACGACATTGTCAATTACATCTAAATACTATAAAGTACACTAAAAGCTGTGTAGCACACCAGAGGAGGCAGAATTTTTCTAAACTTTAAGATGTAAGTCAAGCGTGATGGCTTTATGGAGATGGCTTTTGCAGAAAGTCAATTGTGAGGGCATTTCTCACTTCAGAATATTTGAGATCAATCACAAGGATACCCTAAATTCATTCAGTTGTTCGGAACATTTCATTCTGTACTACCTGTACATGACAAAATTGTTTTCAAGCCACATGTTCAAATTGGGATACATTATTTATTCATTTGTTCAGTGTCTCAGTTGTTTATTTAGTTGTTTTTTATTCCATAGCTTCTTGAAAGTTTATGAGTAGTCTCATAATGTTTCACTGAATACAGATAGAGAACATAAGAACCGTTTCCACTATATATATATATATATATATATATTCAAGCTCACATATGAAAATATTTACAACATAAAACATGGACAATCACTAAATTAACTTCACTTTGCACGAGCCATTTTTAAAAATTACCCAAAGAAGAAAATTATTTTAATGTTGTCATTTTCACTATTTGCTTCATCTAGCAAGTTTAAACATAACTATATATTAGCTAATTTTAATAGCATGTATTTTTTCTAATTAAAAGTCATATATAGTTATTGCAGAACATTAGGAAAATATGGAAAACATGAGAATATTTCCAATAAAAATATAAATAAAAATAGGATGATATTTAATATTAAACTTCATATTATTTTTATTTTCAAAGTAAAGTAGTCAATTAAGAGACACAATCTGCAGAAAACTATTATATATTATCAGTCCAAGAATGGTAACTACAGTCTTCCTAGTAAGCAATATTAAAAAGAACAGCTGGTCTCAAAGGCACACATTGGATTTGTCAATCCATTCTATATATATTTCCCAGATTTCTACACAGCTGTAACACTTTTGTTTTTATTTATATGAATTTCTCAGTGTTTATGACTTTTCTGAGATCTACACATCTACAAGTAAGCCCAGCAAGTCATAATTCTCTCTCTTGAATTTTTCACTCAACTTGACCCTGTCTGTATAGGTTTGATATTGCTTGTCAATCACTACTTAGCTTTTCATGAATCAACATTGCTTTATTCCTTTTTTTTTTTTTTTTTTTGAGGCGGAGTCTCGCTCTGTCGCCCAGGCTGGAGTGCAGTGGCCGGATCTCAGCTCACTGCAAGCTCCGCCTCCCAGGTTCACGGCATTCTCCTGCCTCAGCCTCCCGAGTAGCTGGGACTACAGGGGCCTGCCACCTCGCCCGGCTAGATTTTTTTTTTTGTATTTTTTTAGTAGAGACGGGATTTCACCGTGTCAGCCAGGATGGTCTCGATCTCCTGACCTCGTGATCCGCCCTTCTCGGCCTCCCAAAGTGCTGGGATTACAGGCTTCAGCCACCGCGCCCGGCCGCTTTATTCCTTATAAGCTAACTGTATAAGCTAACTTTTCTTTTGTATGATTCTCAGACCAGGACCATGGGCAAGAGGATGAGTGTGTATACACACACACACACACACATACACACACACACATACACACACATATATACACATTATTTTTTATTTTTTTACGTTAGCTTCCTGATACATGTGCGAAACTTACAGGTTACATAGGTATACATAGGTATATGTGTGCCATAGTTGTTTGCTGTATCTTTCGAAGCATTACCTAGGTTTTAAGCCCTGCATGCATTAGTTATTTATCCTGATGCTCTCCCTCCCCTTGTCCCACCCCCAACAGACCCCAGTGTGTGTTGTTCCCCTCCTTGGGTACATGTGTTCTCATTGTTCATTTCCCACTTATGAGTGAGAACATTTGGTTTTTTTTTTCTGTGTTAGTTTGCTGAAAATAATGGCTTCCAGCTCCATCCATGTCCCTGCAAAGGACATTATCTCATCCCTTTTGTGGCTTTGTGGTATTCCATTGTGTATATATACCACATTTTCTTTAACCAGTCTATCATTGACAGACATTTGAGTTGCTTCCATGTCTTTGCTATTGTGAATAGTGCTGCAATAAACATATATGTGCATGAGTCTTTATAATACAATGATTTATATTCCTTTGGGTATAGAATCAGTAATGGGATTGATACTTGTGTATGCAACACAAATATTTCATGATGCATTTTTCAGCTCCATTAGCTTATTTATGTTCCTCTCTAAACTGGTTATTCTAGTTAGCAGTTCCCCTAACCTTTTACCAAGGTTCTTAGCTTATTTGCATTGGGTTAGAACATGCTCCTTTACCGCAGCAAAGTTTGTTATCACCCATCTTTTGAAGC